GACCCTAATCTAATTCAGACATTTCTGGTTCCCAATCACACTTTATATCTTTATTAAAGAATCACCTCTTCAATGTATATGTTTCCCAGGTGCTCTGTGTCTTTCAAATTTTGTATGAATTTCTCATCTTGCCCATGCAAGCTATGTGCCTGTGCCCTGCTAGCATCATCGTCCTTAATTTATTCACCTTAACAATATTTGGAAAAAAACACAATTTATGCAGATCCTCATCATGGAGCTACTCCTTCCAGTCTCCTGTCATTTCCTCTTTCTAAAGTTCAGATATTCTCCTCAGCATCCTGTTCTCAAGCATCCTTAATCTGCACTCTTCTCCTTATGCTAGCTGATGATAGTTTTAGTTGAAATGTGAACCAAGTAAAACAACTTATTTGAATCACAATTACAAAATAAGAGGTACACATCCTTTACCTTGTGTAGGTAGTGGTAACACATTTAAATATGTTATTTTTACTGTTTGCTTGGCCATGTTTAAATTATAAAGTCAATAATAATAAAAGCAGAAACAATGAAAGGAACAGTGTGAAAACTACTCACAGTTCTAAAAGAGGAATTAAACAACACAAGCTTCTGGCATGGCTTTATAACTGTTAACTTGTTTTTTCTGAAGGCAGAATAGTACAAGAACGAACACAAAGCTTGACCCATAACTAATGCATTATCTAATTACACCTGGACTGCAATTAAAATTGACCATTTTATAGCAATGTTTTGTTGTAAAAAACAAACAGTCTGTTTGGTTCAAGAAATATGAAGTTCTGAGTTTGTGATAATCTGTATTTTCCACGTTGTCTGAGTCAGTTTACCCTACATGACTAACCATGTGTCTACATAGTCAGATATCACATTAGACATCTGCCTCACAATAAGATAAATTTTAGTGGAAGCAAAAAATAAATTTACTTAACTGTAAATGAAAACATACAACTAACATTTTTTCATTGCTTCCATCCTACATTTAGAAGTCGGGATAACTCAGTTGGTATGACAGGCTATGGGCTGGTTCAATTCCTGGCAGTGCAAAATTTTCCTCTTCTCCACAGTATCCAGACCAACTCTGGGGCCCGTACCTCTCCAATAGGCACCTGGGGCTCTTTCCCCTGGGGTAAAGTGGACGGGGCATGAAGCTGATCACTCAACTCCACAACTCCATCTAGTGCTGAGGTCAAGAAAGGTGGAGCTATACCTCCCCTACCTAATGTGTCTTCATATGGAATAGTGCTTAATTAATTAAGCACAGGGACAACTTTATCTTTTTACCTTTACCATCCTACATTTTGGATTGTCACAACATAAATGAAAGTCAGGAAAACTGCTGTTTGCTGTTCCTGAAGCAGGCTAGCTGGCTTCATATAATGAAGCAAGTCAATCATTCAGTACAAAGATTTATTAAGTAATTTTCTTGTACCTTTTCATATTGCAAACTTCAGATATATGTTCTTACTTAATACCATGTGTACACCATGACTTTCAAGGAAATAAAATTAAAACAATGTATGCGCACACACACACACACACACACACACACACACCCATATACAGAGTGTCCCAGGAGGAATGGACCAAACTTCGGGAGGGTGTTCCTTATGTTAAAGTATGCCGATATAACCCAAAACACCTATGTCCAAAGTTGAATGGTTACGGAGATAATGGCCAGAGAAGTGTGAAACTTTGATCGGCGTTGCACACTTGTTGATTACAAAATACATATTAAAACTGGCAGGAATATGTGGATTCTGTAATGTTAATAATGTACGTAACATCAAACTAACTTGTGAGTGACATGAAGCCATAAAATTGAAGTACAAAATACTCGCTCGCCATGTCATAATTATCCTTAGCGTTTCCAAGCACTATACATGACACATGAATGGCAAGCGCTGACGTAACTTGGCTGACTGCGCGTTCTGATAAAGCCAACTACATAAGCACGGCTAGGGTGAATCACGGCACTCAAGGACAAATATAGATAAGGCCTCTCAGCTGAGAGGTACAGTGCGTGGACCTGCCAGAAGACCACACTTTTCTTGGGCCATTATCTCCGTAACCGTTCAACTTTGGACATAGGTGTTTTGGGTTATATCGGCATACTTTAACATAAGGAACACCCTCCTGAAGTTTGGTCCATTCCTCCTGGGACACCCTGTATATGTATAGGTAAGGTAAAGCTATCTCTGTTAACAGGCTGTGAAAGGCCATAGGGTTGTGAGACATCAAGGCTCCCACATTTTCCAGACAACTGGCTCACAGATGGCGGTAAGGCCTTATGCACTGGCTGCCCTTTACCCCCAGGAAGATTCCAGGCACTCATTTCTGTTAGAGGTTGAGTCAACCCCAGGGCTATAGTGCAGTTGGAAGGACTACGTAAATCGAAAAATCCAGTGATCTCATTGGGAATCAAACCCACAACCTTCTGGATTGTAGCATAGTGCCGCAACCAACTATGCTACTGCGTGACATATATATATATGGCATGCAGTATAAATTATCATGTGTGTGTGTGTGTGTGTGTGTATGATAATTTTATAACAAACTCACTGATGCTATATAGTCTTGATACTGAGTGTGTCATTAAATAACCAACTTAAAAAAATAAAAAGTGATGCTGGGTTAGGTCCTTCATACTAAGAGAACCAGTTCCCTTAATATATTATACATTAAACTACTAACCTCACTCTGAAGGCGCGTCTTCTTGACAATGTTTATTCTTGGAACGGGGTCTATATCTTCATGCTTCTTCATGGGTTTACAGCTTCTGATCAGATTGATCCACACTAAATATTATTCTGTTGTTTCAATGCACTCACTGACGTAATATTAAACAAAGTAATACATATTTCTTTAAGGCAAAAGCGACAGCTTACTATCAGTCTTAATGAGGAAAATTATATCTAATAATGTACTGTGTTTTTGAACTCGTTTTCCTATCTTAGTATTATTAAATATGTTTGTTCACTCCTTCAACATTACATTAGGGCTCTTAATTCAAACAATGTCATCTTTTCCAAAGGAAACACGTCAGTAAACGAATCTGTCAGCAGATCGTCTCTTAAGAAATAATATATTAATATTTCGTAGAACAGAAGTTAATATGTGACATGTCTTACAAAACTGAGTGTAAACAGACTCTGATGTTACACTTACTTACCTTATAAATTGCAGAGCTGCATATATTGCGACCTAAGGCACTTCTGTATATAGTATACACGTATTAAATTTTCGTTCTAAATGAACTGTGTAGATAATATATCTTCAAAGCAGGATATATTCTTGGAGGTAGTATACAGTAAGGAATGAATCCAGTCCACTATAAGTTCCTTATGATCCAAGCCCTTAAACTGACTTCCCACAAGACGAACAGAATTGTTTCATCACGTATGAACAAGACCTTCTATTTTACTGTTTGCACAACATTGGCATGCCAAGGCAAAAAATTCTGTGTGGACAATATGTTTATTTAACATTCATACCATATCATAGATGTGTCCTCCTCCAATCCTGAAATCAATTTCACCTTTAGCTATCACTAAGCTGTTTCTAACACATGAAAACTTCATCTTGGCAAGCTAACAAACCCGTGTATTGGGATGATTAAAATTAATATATAATATGTAACATAATCTGCTCCTCTTTTATAAAACCGTGTTTACTGCTACACTCACAAAATTTGAGCCTAAAGGGTCGAAACATATAACGCACCAGCAGATATGTAACTTTTGACTTTTGACAAGTTTGCTCATAAGCACAAACTGTTTTCTGGTAGGAGTACAACCATGTAGTAGCTGAAGGAAGTGCTGAATATAATTAATTATATGAAATTTGGAAGATGTTCAACCTAAAACACTCCTATTAATTTGCCAACAATGATGTGACTGCTACTGTAAGCAACTTACATCTTCCATAAATCCATAAATGTAAATGTGAATGATTTCTTAATTTCCTTCCACGGTGAATCACAAAAAAAAAAAAAAAAAGGCTCTGGGAACCAGAAGTTTAAGAAAACAATTAACAACTCTAAATCACAGATGTGATACTGGGAGATTGAATGGCATAAGAAATTACTAAATGTTAATTAAAATACTGAAATTCATAACCCCCAAAAATGTATTAATCATCTATGAAGGGGGAAAAAAAGTTAAGTTCATAATAATGATGTGTTACATAGAGAGGGGGGGAAACTGGAACACAGCAAATCTCATAACAAGAAGGTTAATGTAGAGGTAATACTCTAGACTTGAATACAAGTGGTGTTCGGTTTCAATCTTGCCTACGACATCAGCATCCATGACTGAGATTATTCATAGTTTTCTTCAGTCCTCCAGGCAAATTCCAGGACAGTATCTGACTTTCTATTCAGCTTTTTTGCCATCCATGTGCAATGTTGGTTGCGCATGAACAACAAAAAGTTGAATGCAAAGTTAGATCTATGCAGTGTAACAGGATGCTGCAATTTAACATTATGCCAGGATAGTACCTTGATCAGACCATGATCACTTCCTTCTGAATCCTTTCCACTTCATTATTCATTAACCACTGCACCATTCAATACTATATAATACAACATATTGATATTTTCACAAAATAAACACAAAAAAATATGGTAATAGTAAAAAAAGTAAATTTTTCCATGTGCATAACTAATTAAGCACTATGCCATGAAGGTGTATAGGGGAGTGGATGTATATATCCACATATTGTTGACCTCAGTACCAGTTGCAGGTAAGTGGTCAGCTTCACACCTCTGCTGCTTTAACCCCCCCCTCCCCTGGGAAAGAGCCCCCCGGTGCCCATTGGATAGGAGGCTAGGTGGGCCCCAGAGCTGGTCCGGATGATGTGGAGAAGAGAAAATTCTTGACCCTACCACGATTTGATCTCCAACCCCTCTGCAATCTAGCCTGTAGCCAGTCGCTATACTGACTGCGCCATCCTGGCTCCAGTATGGTAATAGTATTTGTGTTTATTTCATGATTGTAACTTCTCACCTGTGGAGCGAATGATGGCAACAGGGCGAGCCATGGGTGGTGGAGGTGGTGGGGGCAGCATTGTGCTGGGGTAGTACTGAGATAACTTTGAAGGACTCCGAGAAGACCCAGGCTGAGACTGGAACCAACATATAAATGCTCATCTCAACACTTCATTTCTTTGAAATCCAGTAACACAGGTTCCTACTCAGAAATAAATATAAGGTACAAGTTCTTGTTTTACTTCTGAATACTTTTGGTCTTAGTCCTTACATAACATCCTCTATGACAAGAGGATGAGTCTGTCATTTACAATTGCTACTGGTCCTCGCCAGCGCAGTTATTCTCAGGTCCAGGTCCCACGAGTCTCATGATCATATTGTGATGTCGGCTCATGTCCGTGGTCTGTGTGCGCACTTTTCCCCTCCACTGTCCCCCTCTCTCCTTCCCCTCCTGAGCCGACTTAGCGGCCTAACAAGTCGAGCTGAGGGCTCTTGGCTTCCCAACCGTTGGATGGGTAGGTTGTTCTCATTTCGGACCACCGGTCGAGGTCATCCTCGACCGTCCAAATTGATTTCTCTATGTGGTATTCAATCTTAGAACAGCGAACTCTGCAATCATTCTGATACAGGTATTTACATTATGTTTGTATTCATTCTTTATTAATACATTATATTTATTCTTTGTTAATATTTGATTTGGTTATTTCTGTTTGGGTATTTCCGCCTTGCTGATTTCTTTGTTCTCCCCTGCTCGCCCTGTCCTGTGATCACACGAACCAATACACACCCTGAAGGATCCTCTGAAGGGTACCTACGCTTCAATATTTTACTGTCTCAGATTTGAGACTCCCCCAACATGGAGGGGCAGGTGCCTGTATTTATATTCCCCAGGAACAGGGTGGCCTAGTTATACCCCCAGGCACTGGGTTCCCTTTTTTGTCACCTCCTATGACTCACAGGGCTATGGTGGAGGTACTGTTACCTGCCTCCACATGGACAACTCTTCTGACAGTTTGCAGGCCCTCTGTATATAGCTTTGTTGCAGAACAATGAGAAAATACTGCCCTCAACGGTTCCTTGACTCTTGTTAGCATATGTGGCTGTTATGAACTGATGTTCTATGTTATTTAGCAATGGATGCCTCTCTGACATTTCTCTGATTCTAAGATTCTTACTTTTAGATGTCATATCACAATATAGAGAAGGGTGTACATTTGTCTGTCCTGCCATCTCTCTGTTTCATATAAATTTCCACACTGCTATACATGTAGCGCTCAAACTTGGCATGATCTCCCTGGAAAGGTTTTAGACACCCAAAAACCACAATGTTTTTAGTTTAAGTGTTCCCAAACATATTTGAAAATCCCCCCAAAATATTTTTTTTTTGCATGCTGTTTGAAAACCATTCATCCTAATACATCAAAGCCTTGTTCATTCAATGGAGTTTAGAAAAGAAATTGCTTACTCTACTTCTACTTGCTACAGTTTTTGAAATATTTAATTCTCAATTCCTCAAAAATGAATAGCAATTTTTAAAAACATACAGAAGGTCCAGGACTGATATATTACTGTGGGGTATTTGCCCCATGCAAGAATGGTTGAGCCACAGAAAGAGCCGTAAATACGCTTCCACGCAGGCACAATGACGTCACACTCCAACAGTACTTAGTTACTGTGTGACTTATTTTCTGTGTGGTCTGTGCTATGCAACAGTAGAACTGTGTTTTCTATGTTGTCTGGTATCTGTCAACCAATGATTCAGAGGAACATATTGCCTGCATCTTGCTGCCTGCTTCAGGCTGGTTTCTTGCTTGGTTTACTCTTTGAGCTTGAAGGTGGAGGTAACATATGCCTTTGAAACACTGGCTGACTTCCACTACACTGCATAATTTTATATCCCAGAAAACATAACTCTTAATCAGAATAATTAATGAGTAAAAAGTGGCAACTACAAGAGTCCAAGATTAGTAACACTCAGTATACTAAACTGAACATGAGGAATACCATTACTCTGTTCATAACCAGAATGGATTAGTTAATTCACCTACAATATTTACTTTATATTGTGACATGACACCTGAACGCTAGAAGTGTGCAGAAGTCTCTGTTGCCTCGGTTACATATATAGTATGTTTCAAGTGCACACTGTTATTGCCACTTAGCAACACTGAAAAATGCTGAACTTTGATTGGAAACATACATAAGCGCTTGATATATATAAATATGAGCTTTGCTGAGCTCTACTCACTTACATGTGATATAAACAGAATCTGAATCAAAACTACAAGAAACAATAACGTTTGTTTCTGCAACATCTGACTCTATAATGTCTAATATGACCATACTAATCAGTCATACTGTAAGCGGATGAATGCTGTTTTCTTGGAATCATGGTGTCCATGGTGACATAAAAAATATGCAATAATAAAAGTTTATAACCAAAAATATACTCCAAATCTCAATGGAATTCTACTTTTGATACACATTACAATGGAACATAGACATGGTTACTTTAAATTACACTTGAAATTAATTTTAGAAGAGGAAGGAATATGAAATGGATCTTAGAGAGATAGGATAGGATGGTATGGATTTGATTGATCTGGCTCAGGACAGGGACCCGTGGAGGGCTCTTGTGAACACGGTAATGAACCTTCAGTTTCCATAAAATGCTGGGAAGTTCTTGAGTAGCTGCATAATTCGCAGCTTCTCAAGAAGGGCTCAGCTCCATGAGTGAGTGAGTGAGTGAGAGAAAGGGATATGGTCTACAGGTTTCCTGGTTGCCTCTGAGACTGAGGGCGTTTTCTTCCTTACAATATATGTCATATGACCTGCACCCCTGACAGGCAACTGTGAACACATACCTGTGTCTCTTGCGTTTCAGCTTCCTGGCAGACAAAATGGACAAAGTCAGAAAGGGTATCATGACCATTCTCTGGATACTTTGTAGGGCTGTGTTGGGAGTGAGACTGCTGGTCCCCATGCTGGGTTGGAGCTGATGCCTGCTGGTAGTAGCTGGCTGCAGCACCTGTACCCCCTCCCCCACTAGACATGGAAGTTACAGAGCCATGCTGAGATGCCAGGCCTGTAGGACACATATATAACAATTCATCAGAAGGGCAGTCTTACACTCAAATAGAATAAATTCCCAGCCACACAGAGGATTCCTGTCTACAATTGTGACACCAGAAGACAATTACATCAACCACTTCCCAGAAAAAACATGAAAGTATTAAAAAAACTGTTATCACATAAGCAGATACATATATGCAACACAGCAAGGCCAATCTACATGAAGTTAAGCTAAGGGACAAGTTTGACATGAGTGAACAAATCAGTGAGTCAGTGAATGGGTGAGTGGGTGTATCAGGGAGTGTGCATGTCCATGTTACATGATAACATAATATAATGGATTATGAAGAATTTTCATATAATATATATTAAACTTTGGAAAATATTTCCATAATGTATATGAAATTTGTAATTTTTATTGTAAAGAATATGATAAATTTTCACCGGTATTTAATTTACTTAACATAACATCATCACCACCAACACCTTAATAATGCTGACCATAACCCTCATCATTGTGGTTGGTGGTTTATTGTATGATGCTATCAATATCTAAACTCTAGTGAACAGAAAAGTAGGATGACTGACAAACTGGAAAGGACATAGAAGTGGTCATGGCCCAATCAAGGTATTATCCTGGTATTTGCCTGGAAGGTCATCATTGTCAGCATTACTGCTTTCTATTGAATTATGAACTGAGATGCATACAAACAAGTGATGTCTACTCGCAAACATGTCAGAAGTAAAATATCACACATATGCCATAGCGTTCCATGTTCCAATCTTATATTAAATCAGGACATCAACTAATTAACTTCATGGATTTTCATTTCATGCATCCTGTTGTGTTATAATATATAACTTCTTTATTAAGACCGTCACAACACAACTATGAGTCATTGTTTACATTCCCTACAGAATGGACAATACTTTGTAAGATGAGGCATCGACTAAATAATTAACATTAATATTACTATATCTACATCACGAGCCTCCAATAACAGTTTTTATACACAAAATATAGAAAACTCTAATTCCTCCATGGGAAGGAAACAAAATCACAAAAACCAACGACTGACTCAATGATGTAAAGCATCAATCGAAGAATTTTATTCTTGTTTTATATTATAACTTTTGTTTTATATAATCTGATTTATTGCATTTTTACATCAAGTATTTTAATATAATTAATATTATTGTATCCACTTTTATAAGTACTGCAGTTCAGTGGTGTATGTATGTTAGTCATGTATCTGACTGATGATGGCTATTAATAGCTGAAACATGTAGCAGAGCCAAGACCAGGGACTGACCTTGATATAGTTGTGTTGTGATGGTCTTAATAAAGAAGTTATAACTCCATGGAACTCATTTCTTCTTCAGAAGCCACCACTCACTCGGCTACTCAAGAATTTCCCAACACTTNATACATCCATGTAAGATTTGAGGCTTTCACGGCGGTGACTATGAAGAAAGCAGTCTTCTGGGATTTGGCACCCTGTATACATATACATGGTGCCAAATCCCAGAAGACTGCTTTCTTCAGATAAATTCAGTCCATACTACCCCATCCCATTCCTGTAACATCCATTTTAATAGTACCCTTCCATCTATGTCTAGGCATTCATAGTGATCTCTTTCCTGCTGACTTTCCCACCAAAACCTTATACGCATTCCTCTTCTCCCCATGCATCCTACATGCTCTGTTTATCTTATCCTCCTTGACTTGATCATTCTAATTATTTCTGGCAAAGAGTACAAGTTATGAAGCTCCTCATTATGCAGTTTTCTCCAATCTCCTGTAAGGTAGCAAGAATTATCCAAATTTAATCTGCTGTTATTTTCATAATGAATCAAATTTAATTTTTTAAAGGATCTATCAGCTATCTTTGTGTTATGATTTTTCCCTGCACTCTGGTGACCAGATGTCAACATATACTTAGTTCTGAGTTTACATCTAAACCAATCTTTTTATAAGCACCAATTAGAGCTTCTGTGTTCTTCTGTATGGTATTTATGTTATGTGTCAGTAGGTTTATATCTGCAGCATAGACCAAATTCTGACTAAAGAAAGTCATGCATTAAAGATTCATAACCTCTCCTAAATAAATACAGCAAACAAATAAATAAATAAATTAAATAAATGTAGTTTAGTGGCTATAATTCCGGTTTAAATGTTATGAATATTTTGTGTCTATAGTGCACAGTTCTTCAGACTATGTTTCTAGTGTTTCGAGGATTGGATTTTATCTCAGTTAATTATGTCCTATAAATATAAATTTTAGTAAATATACAACAAGGAAATTCTGTACTGGAAGGAGAAAATATGCAAATTTTAAATTTCCTGTAAAATAGCTAATACATACATCAAATAAACCTCAACAGTAACATCACGCCAGCTTACATATATAACATTACTTTACTTTATGTTTAATAAAATATCTACTTATATAAATACCACTGTGCTGAAATATCCCATTTCAAGATATCTGTATAAAACAGCAAAATCATTATGCAGCATAGAACTGAAGTTTCTGCAAAGACTAGAAATTTCACATTAGAAAAGAGGAAGCATAAATTTATCAGTTTTAAATATATTCTGATAATATTAATAAAGACTGACATGTAAGGCCGCTGTGGAATTTTAGAATTTAATCACTCCTAGGCACACAGCAATGGAAACCCCAAAAAGTTAAGAACACTGACAGCAATGTATTGGATATTTGGGTCAAAAGCCTATATAAGACAACAAAACACAGTAATATGCAGAATATATGCAACATCCAATCTGTCCATCCATATGGATGACGTTTATCTCTTATAAACAGAGGGGTTTAAATTTTTTAGAAGAAAATACAGAATAATATAGGTCCATACAAAGCTAAAATTTTATAAATGCATGCACACACATCCAAAAAATACACACACACACACATTCACACAAAGACACATACACACACAAGTGCAAATACAATGACCACACATTCTTAAAGCAGAATTAAAACTTGCATGACTGAAGACAAAAAAAAAGGACAGTAATATGATAATTACAGAGAGTTGCTGAATAAAATGCAGTTGAAACACTACTTAGCCTAATGAAGTCAGATTAATGGCTGAGTAAAAATTTTAATAATTGTATTTGTTGTTTACTCAATTGGTCACCAAGTATTCTAGCAGCAGATTGGATGGCTTTAGAAGATCATAGGGATGTAATTGAAAATAAAAATTTGCTAAAAAATTTTATTAATTTATATCTAATATTTGTCCTGAAAGGCAGTTTCCACGCATCTTACGAATGCTGACTCCTACCATAATGACAAATGTCACTAACAGTGAGACTGTACTACCCTCTATTTTATTAATTCACATTCATTTTAATCATAATTTCCCCATGTACATTTGCAATCAGAAAATAAACATAAAAATCTCAAAATTTTCTCCCTTATATTTCTGGTAGAGGAGAAGAAACGGTGCATGTTAACAGAGAGAAGAATGTCATGTTCATTCTGTCCGCATGTCAGACAAAGATAGGGAAACTGTTCCTGTGGTTTTGCTAGGAGTGTGATCTCTCACTTCAATCTTGAATGATCATCAGATTTTCAGCAGGACTTGTACTTAGAATTCCAGCAAATAATATAATTAACCTTTAAATGCCGGACTTCTGAAATGGTGGTAAGCTTGAGTTGGCCAGAGTTTATTTAAATGCCTATCGCTGGTGCGTGTTTAAATGCCCGTTGCTACTCTGCGTTTAAATGTCCATTCCTGTTAGGGAACTTAAATAATTTTAAGCATCGTGTTTAAAAATGCTGTATCTCACTCAATTTTTATGATAAATGGATGGAATTAACTTTGTTTGTATCAGTGAAGAACATAGTGTCGCATATTCTAATGGATGATTCGAAAATTTTTATACAAAAAATTATACTCTATTTTCAATTTTCTTTTCTTTTAATTTTGATGCATACTGCAAAAATGGTTTTCCAGTTCTTCACAGAGTTGTTCTGCATTATAAATTAATTTCTGTTTGTAACATTTGACAAATTTTAGCAGTCCCTGGTGTCATAAAACAGATGGAAGCAATAAAATCATTTGGTTTTCTGCTAGCACTGTCTACACTCTTTGGATTTTCAAATCTTTTGACTAAAGGACAGAAGAATGAAGGAATGGCTATTCAAAAGAAAGCTAGAGGGGCCCTTCTTCAGTGCTAAGACCTTCCATTATAGCTGCAAGAGATTATTGTCCTTTCTAGGGTCATGAACAGACAGTTGCATCATGGCTGAGATACAGAGTGCGATCTGTTTTCTGTGCATTCATAGTGAAATCGAATACTGTAGTTTCATTTCACCCTATATATACAACAAGCAGATAACAACAAAAATGCTATGTACATCGAATTTTACTATATAGTGTATTTTTAACACATTAATCTGCACAATCCACAATAGAAGTACTGGCTCATGGATGAATTTGGGCATAACTCATAAATATACTATTTTCTGCTGTTGTTCACTTAGGTATCATTTTAATTCCTCTATTATCGTTTTACTCAAGTCTGTCTGGTAATTACTACATTTAATATTAAATATTTAGAACTGTGCATGCGCTTCTACTAGCGGCGTGTGTGCACGCTTCCACTAGCGGAGTTTAAATGCCTGACTGGCCAAAACAGAGTACTCTGGCCATGACAACCATACTCATCACTGGCCCGATTGGGGCACTTCAGACGCTAAAGGTTAAGAATATGACATCAAAAAATGTATGGATGGTTTCAATCTGAAATGTACAAGGTTTTCGTTTTGGGTTTTAGATTTGAAGTAATCAGTTGTAGGAACAGAATTTGAGGAATGAGGCACACTTTCTTTACTATATTCAGAAGTCAAGGCAAAATACTAAGGCTGACAGTCTCTCTTCACATTCACATTTAAAATGTGTTATCCTCATAACTTTTAAGTCTTATTTTTATTGTTGAAAATTCATGCTTAGAAATTTATTTTAGTGAACTGCTAGTGATTTTGTGCTTATCGGCATATTAAAAAAAGCATCATTGTCTAAATGGTGTGAAAAATTTGTAAAAAGGGTAGAAGTTAAGATGTAAAAATGAAAAGAAATTTGAAGACACTCTGGAGAAATAATATAATTAGGCCTACTACATATTTGTAGTTACACAAATTAGTTATACCAGTGGTAACAGAGGCATATGATAATAGAAACAATAGATATAAGAACCTAAAAATCCCTACATGAATAACGTGGTTAAGAAAGGAAATATTAATATGTTAGAAACTTAAATTCACTAATAAAACTGAAGAGATTCCTACACTGACAAGTCATGGTTTCAGTTCCTGCAAGAACGTTTATGTCTCTACCTGATACAGAATTGTAAGACATAATCTCTAAAATTCTAAGAAACATGGAAACACGACTGAGATTATCAAACATAAAAATATGAACATAAAAATCATGGTCAGAATTGAAGACTGTGTGTTCAGGGTTCTTTAATGAAACAGAGAGTATGTAAATATGTGTGCATGTGTGTGTGTGTGTGTGTGTCTGTACAAAAGGAAGATTTATTCCTTTTCATGAGGCATTAATGGCATGAGTGATTAATAACTTGGCTCTTTGTGTGTGAGATAAGCCATTCTGGTCACATGAATTTTGAGAAAATATGGTATGAGAGTTCGTAATAAGTTTATGGGCAAAGTATAATCTTTTATAAAGAGTAACAACAGTGGAATACTACTTTATATGGACCAAAAATATTAGGTACAATATCATAATCAATTATTGTACCAAACAATGTTTTCTGAAGTTGAAGTTTAGCTTTTCATAAATGTATATGCATTTCTTGTTTTCACATTTTGTTCCATTAAAATGTCCATCAAACACCAAATGTGAACCCAGCTGTTACAGTTAAAAATCAGAGGATACAATGCATTCTTGGCCAATGAATTATAAATATAAATTTATTTATTTATTTTTTTAATCATTTTGTTTTATTATGCCTAGGGTGGATGTTTTGCCTCTCTCCTATGTAAATGTATAAAACCTTATAAGAGTTGTTGCCATGATTATACACAAAAGTAATTTTACCCATTTAAAAATCATGTGACTTCCTTGTTCTTCAAGGCTGCTATTACATATTTATCTCTGAAAGTAGAGCCCAATAGAAACAAATGGTAGATATAATTTTTTCAGCAATTAATGTAAAACAGTCAGAAAATTCATTTTAACCAAGTTCCTATGGTTGCAGAATTTTTGGACATTCTATAGAAGAGTCTGCAGTATTGTTGTTCAGCCATGAAAAGAAATACTGTAGCTGTGCATGAGGTTGAGTACATACCTCACCCTCTCAAAGATAATTTATATAATCTGAGTCAAAATAAATAAAAACCGATTACTTTAACATTTAGATAGTTTACTTAGTAAATTATTCCTACAGTTAAAGAAAAAAAAGAGCAAGAATCATGCAATTCCACAAGTTATTATATTCACCAAGGAATGATATGTACAGGGCCAAATTGGTTCTCATTCCAAGCACACAATCACGGAAACTTCTTCTGTGGGGTATTTACCTAAAACTTCATGCTTCTAGTTAACTAAAATAGAAGGAAACTGTAGGCTCTTTCAGCCTGAACTTATGACAGGGGCCATTATACTTACAATGTTAAACATAAATCAAGGAACTTAATTCTGTGAACATTTTGAATGTGAGAATGAGAGTGTGGAAAATTTAGCAATAAATTTACTTCACAGATTATCTAACATTTAGTATTTCAGTAATACTTTAATACTGAATAAACTTGACAGAAATGACCCCCATCAAAGTTAATTTTTCAGTAGTTACACAACCAGGTTTGCCTAAAATTCAATTGTTGAGTAATCTGGACAATAAAAGTGTTGTCTGCAGAAATGGTATTAAGAGAGAAATTAGACACCCATTTCTAAAGGAAACACTTTAATTGGACTGAGCATGCTGGTTGCTACAAGCCAGGCTGTGATTAGTAGTGGCTAGCCTCAGTGTGCACCCCCTACCTTCCCAACGACCAAGCAGCGAGTTCATGTCTGCCACTGTCTTGTGTTCTGGAAAGATAGTATCAAAGTTGTCATTTGCCCACCAGACACGTAATTTTCTTTGATACAAAACTTCTGTTCAGTTTTCTTTTAAATTTGTATAACACTGAATCACTGCTTAAAATATCGGCATCAGTACAACAGTTAAAATTTTTAATATTACCCAAGGTTGATTCCAGCCTTATGCACAGTGAAATATCATATTACCACATAAAGATATGCATTTAATTAATTTTGCTTCAGTTTGTATTAATACTGAGAGTTTCATGAAAAAGGAGTGTGACTGATGAATTCTTAGGTTATTTAATGATGGTTGTGGAAGAACTGGTGAATGGTTGAAACAGTATACAGGTAGACAGATGAGGTTAAGGAGGTACGGACGAGATTGTTTTGAGCCTAATGACGCTCTTGCCTAATGACTGTTTCCTTTGAAGTGATATCATAGCAGGATATTATTAATTAATTAATATTATTAAACATATTATTAATGAAAATCTGCATATCCTGCTTTAAATACAAGGGTTGGAACTTTAATAGTGGCAACTATTTATTTACAACTGATACAAAATAGGTGCATGTTTCGAAGTTTTACTGTCCTTCAGTGTAGTCACCAGTATTGTGTACAACCTGTTGCCAGTGATGTGGAAGTTGTGGGATACCTTTAGCAGCGCCTGTTGTGTTGATAGTTCGAATGGCGCGGTCTTCTGCCTGGAGAATCTCTGGAACAGTTTCGAAGCGAACGCCACGAAGTGGTTCCTTCATCTTAGGAATCAAGTCAAAGTCATAAGGGCTTAAGTCCGGGGAGTATGGTGGATGGTACAGCACTTCCCAGCCCCATCGATGTAACAAATCAGCCACAGCTTGCCATTTCTGCATTTCCGTCAAATCATGCAGAACCCATCATGATGCAATTTTTCTCATGCCCTGGCATTCCTTCAGGATGTGAAGCACAGTCGTATACGCTAATCCTGTCTCTCTGGCCAGCTCATGAATCATATGGCATCGATCACTCTCCAGTAACGAGGAAAGAGCATACACTTCTTCACTGACACTAGGACAACCTGGCCGACGCATGTCTGCCACATTCTGGCATCCCTCGTTGAAGGTTTTTCCCCACCTTGCCACTGTTCTGTAAGGCAACGCAGGTTCCCCGCAAGCCTCTTGAAGACCTTGATGACACTGTCGTGCTGTACGGCCTCTGGCACATTCAACCTTTATCCAACTCCCTTGTTCCTGTTTCGAAAACATCGTGACACCACTACATTAGACCGCCAGCTAACATGAGGCTCTGTTCTTCTCGTCACTGCGCATGCACGTGATGTGGGAAGGGAGAGTCCATTTGCTCTGAGGTAAGGTAGGTATGTAACTAACGTGTGGTATAAGCAACATTATTTGGTTCCATTGCATGGCGTCTCTACAGCAGTGTTGCCACTATTAAGAGTTCCAATCCTTGTACATATACATAGCAACTACTAAATGCTATACTTCACTATCAACTTTTCAACTACCATATTAAACCTCTATATCAGTATTTTTCTGATTCTGGGACAATTCCTGCATCATTTAGCATAATAACATACAGACTGATGTGAAATCAGTGTCCCTTCAGGAGTTGAACCTGGAGATCCTTGATGGACTCTAAGCCATTACTAACTCCACGACATTACTAATTAGACTGCTGTTTAACCAGAGGAAAATTCTGTTGGTCAAAGAACCTGGTGTGCTAGATCATGAAGGAAACCACAGAAATATGTGCTGCAGGACTTGTCAGTAATACAGACTTTGGCAACACTGCATCCCACACATCAGACACACATGTACACATTATTTTGAATTTATTCTTTTCAGGATTTGAACCTGACAAAATAACACCTCAATCCACAAAGACATTAAAAACAGAAGACAAAAAGACTACATGTGGAAAGTGTGAGTAATATGACAAAAACACTATGACTATAAACATTTAAAAATACACGGTTCTTGAGAAACAGAATTCAGCCCTCTAAAAATTAATGATATTAATACTATTTCACACACGTGTGTATTCTATGTTTGCATGATCTTTCTCAATTAAAATTCTGTGACTATAACGCCGGCCAACAAGTTTTCCATAGGAGTGAAAATGAGGTTCTACAATGAATGTATTGCATATTGTTACCTAAAGATCAATTCCTTTTAAAAAAACGTAGTCAAATGAGTGTGCTATCAGGCCTAATACATTAGAAAGGAACTTCTTATAGTCCCACAAACAATGGCAATCATGGGAAATAGAAACAAATTATCAGATTACATAAACAATGTGCATATTTAAAACTGCCAACATACAAATTTAAAAAACTCTAACCCAACGACAAAATTGCCAAGCTGGGTACACATTATGAAACCATTATGCAACGTTTTATATACATATTGACATTTCAGCTTTTATTTAAAATTGACTGTTCTAGTCTTTCTGAAAGCATCCAAAACTAAAGACCAAAAAAAAACACAAATTTCTGAAGTACAAACATGGAGCCCAAAATCTGAACATGTAATTTGACAACTCTCCATAGATAGCATAGCTTTACTTTCCTGCTCCAACACTGTAACAGCTGCCTGATTATACATTAGGAGATTTTAATTCTTAACATTGCAAAATAATTAAGTTGTTGTAAAACTGTAAATGTACAAAGAAAATAATTTCACATGTCAATAATATATGAAGGAAACTGTCATTGTCATAATTTTGACTTGTGCATTACAGTATTCTGCATTAACAAATTAAATGATGCCCACAAAACTACTTCTCACATATGAACATTTTTAATGATTTTGAAATGAAGATTACCACTTTAACGTAGAAAATAACTTCCCTGGTGAGCTTGTTTGTCAAGCTATATTCACTCCTCCAAAAGCACAGTTTTACAGGCAAATCACACTCAGATTTCAATTGTTCTAGATCAGGCGAAAATTATGTTTTTTAAATGCAGACCTACATATTGTGAGGCAGGTATGGAGGAAGGGGAAGTGGGAATAAGGAAAGATGGAACTCATAAGGTACTCTTCAAAAATAGCTGTAAAAATCATCTAATATTATGTAACTATTACACCACATCTTACATGTTCATATTTTAGTATCCTTACACTGGTCATTGGTGCAACACTGGTTTCACATAGCACAGTACAATCCCAAAATGCTATTGTGTATGTCCCTGGTTGAATAAAGTCATCAACTTGCACATAAAATTGAACAAACTAGTTTGGGAAATATATACCAGTGTATTCATTTACAAGTGTATCAACCAACACTATACTACAATTTAAATTGAAAATGTAAGGAACTCTTTTTAGACTACAAGATGTGGAAATGAAATGAATCACACAGATCTTTGAAAGAAGACATGAATATAATCTATTTCCAGATTGTTTTATACTTTTTATAACAATGGCAGTCAGTGACATGGACAATAACAATGTAGCATTGTACAATTGTGTGACAAATTACAACATTTTAATGATCATTTGTGCGTGTATATTTATTAACATGGACCTGAAGATCGATTGTGGTGTGTCACAAAGAGGATAAAATACACAATTCTTTATCTGGAGGGAAACTACATCACAAATCCACAAAATTGCTACTATCTAATAATAACATGGATTACCATATAAGGAAATTAATTAAGAATTTCAAGTGAAACAATAATGCTCATGAACATACTGATAAGAGAATATCCACCCTTATAAATATCAACCACAATAGCAAAGTATTATTTTGGACTGTTTAAACAGAGCTGATAATATCTAATAAATCTGCCTTCAGTCTTAGTATATGTGACAAAATAATAAGGTCCAAGGAAGCATGCAAAAGCCATAATAGTCCCAGGTTGTTTCTTCCAACAGTGCAGAATCAGCTGTTATAGTGCTTCCTACAGACTCCAACCAAGTCACTTTCCAAAATTCTGAGTTGAATCAAGAACTATTTTACAACACACAATATGATCAAAGAATGGAAAGAAGGTAACATTAAATATCTCACTTAATTCCAAGACCTCACAAAGAAAGACACAGAAAGAAGCCAAAATGATAGGAAGTTTTCAGATATAACCATACAGAATCAGGGAATATTTCAAACCAAATTGTAAAATGTGAACCAGTGCAGTTTATTGTTAAGCAAGCATTATACAGGAGTAACATGAACTGTAAATGTGAACAGCTCTAGTGGAAGGCAATGACTGCAAACAGCGTATGTATGTTTCCAACATCTGTGAGACACTAACCTCAGTTCATGCAGGTTACTAATCTAGAAATGAAAGTCACTAAAATTTAGTTGTTAGCTTCATAAAATAATAATATTTGCTGACAAAGATGCCAGAAATCATTGACTCAATAAAACATACAAATTATGTCTGCATTTTCAAAAAGTTGAGTGATGGTGTCAGCACACATTGTGGGAAATGTGGAAAAAAACAAAGAGTTACACAAGAACAATTAAATAAACAAGTACAGAAAGTCATAAACTGATGGAGTGAGAATGATAATTCTACTAAAATGAAGAAGAAATTGTAACAATATCACTTAACAGATTAACATTTAAGGTGAAAAATAATCATAGAGATAAACAATTAAGTTGCTATATAAAGAATTACTTTTAAATCACCATAAAAATCAATAACAGTAATATCGCTGTCAAGCTGCAATTTAAGTTTGACTGATGGCAAGTGAGCATCTGTGACTGTGATGTGAAATTCCACTTAAACAACAGCAAATAACCTGAGACATAGAGAGGGTAAGAACACGGACATCGAGAGATACGTAGAGCAGAGCAGAATCACACAGCTAATACACAGTGAACGAACCACAGTAGTACCTGTTAACAGATGAGCCTGTCATCATGCAATGAGGAGGGGAAGACTGAAACAAAACGATTAAGATTGGTTACTACACATTGATTAACCATTCTGAGATGCCTTCACATTTTGCTAGAACAAACGGTTAACTGGAAGGATTTGGGGATAGCTGGGAAATTGGACGTGGTGTCATTGCCAGTCTCAAACACAAGCATACAACAGAAAAGAAGGAAAGTATGGTTGAGGCAGCTGATGGGCTGATAATGAACAAGAAACAGGAAACTGGTACCACAGTCAATCTAAACAGCAGAATGTATATGCACGGGGATAAGATATTTATGTGGAAAAGAAAATATATGTGACAAATTTGGGATTGTCACCCATAACATGGATGCAAGAGAGTAATAATAATAAAGGCCAGTTATTTACTGAAATGCATTCAAGAGACTGCACATATTTACAGACTAGGTCATGAGCAAATCTAAGTAATAAAGTCTCTGAATGAGCATGAAATATTTCTTTGAGCAATTATAAGTATAACTGAAGTAATAAGGAGAAAGAGTGAGCAATAAATAGGTATATACTGTGCATGAGGAACTGAGGCAAAGAAACAAGGAAGTGACATGTTTGGGGATATTACACAGGAGAGGGTGAGGGGACAAAAGAAGCAAGTGATGTGTGGGTATAAACATAAGAAATTGAAGAAAACGGACAAACAAGTGAAATGTTAGGATAACAGACATAAGAAAGTAAGAGGAGAGTATAAGCAAGTGACATGCTGATATAATGCATCTGAAGGAATGGTACTAAGGAATGAAAAGTAATGTGTCGATAAATTAAACACGAGGGATGATGAAAAGGAAAAAGCCAGTGAAACGAATAGGAAATTACATATCAGGAAGTTGGAAGGAATGAGCAGGAGCTTATGGTGACAGTGTCGATGGAGTGGGGAATGAGGAAGATATTACATGTGATGGAGGGAAGAGAAGAGATGAGAAAATTATGTGTGCAGATGGTATAGATATATATGAGTAAGGGAGAAGAAGGAACCAGCAAGTGTCACAACTGAGGAAATACATATGATGGACTGAGGAAAAGAAGAACAAGCGATGATGAAGCATGATAAAAATAATCATCCTATGTTCATGGGAAGTCTCAGGCATGAGACCATTAAACATGTGATGCTGACACAAATTTTGAATAGGTGTTTTACTTGATGCATGTGATGATGGGAGTTGCACTCAATGAATTCAGTGAATTCAAAGGTTGAGAGATGGTTTACCAAATGATCATGAAGAAATTGTCAGATGATAAGAGTTTACATACTGAATACGAATTGAAGAGAAAGTATGTGCTAGAAGCAATGTGGAATGTGGAAGCAAGCAGATGATGATGTTTCCATCCAATAATTGTGGCTGTACAAATGAGGATATATTAGAGAGAAGGTGGTAGTACCTTCAGTGTATGTGGAAGTGGAAAAGGAAATGTCAAAGAAAAATCAGAAGAATGAAGAAAATGGTGACAGTTCCACGCAGGAAGTAGGCAGGCATCTGACCCAGTGAAGATGGGTGAAGAATGGGAGTTTTCCACCCAGTCACCTGGTGCATACAGATCTACGCCCTGTAGCAACAAGCCACCTAAACCTACCTTCGCGAGGGTGTGGGCTATCCCTGGCCCCAGTCCGACTGGGGTGCAGGTGACGATTCTCATGACTAGATAAAGAAGGTTCCTCGTTAGTGATGAGTGTTCTGAGGACCCCGGACCCGACCCCGCTAGATACCAATACCGGTTCCGGGGAAAAGCTCGCTGATATCGTGTTGGGTGAAGGCATGGCAACCTTGCCAGCATGCACCAGGTGGGGTGAATGCGTGGAAGGTGGACCTGTAAGCAATTGTTGCACTAGGCTAACTAATCTGTCAGTCTATCCATCCATCTACATTTATGTGTGCCATGTAACCATTCACTGTCCCCCAAAATTGAACAAATTTAGTCATGACTGTCAAGCTGTCTATGCTGGACCAAGAGTTTGCTAGCATGCACCTACAATTCTCCCCAACAGCTTCGTCCCTGGTTTTTCCTCTGTTGCTTTTTAATGAGACTACAGGGTGTTTGAAGCATCAGAAAGCTTTAGGATACTACCCACTTAAAAAGAAAACCAATTAAGTCATATCAATTACATTCTAAACTAATATTTAAATGTCATGGCTACTGTCAAAATACTAGGCAAAAGCCACACACTCCTATTATTATATTAACAATATACTAATCAGCAGTCATGCACAAAACTTATTCTAAGAAAGTTTTGGACTATTGACTAGTATGAATACTAAAACAAAATATTGGGAACCAGGAGAAATATAGCCATCAGTGTGTTGTTATGTTAGTGTGGAAGAAAAGGTCAATGTGAGTGCCCTGTACACTATTAGAAGCTGTGCCAACAAAGGTTTGGACTATGTCTTGCAGCTTTTCATAATCACTACATAGAAACAAGTTCTCATGCTTTATGAATTCATTTTGGTTTCTGGAATATTGCTGTAAAAAAATTAAACAAAACAAACAGGTTATTTGTCTCACTTGCACAGGGACAAAACAGAAAGGAGGCTTTGTTTGGCTTCTGTTCCTTACTCATGAAATATACAGCACTTCATCTGACAATATGTCAACTTCTACCATGAGGACCCTGGAATAACTGGTTATTTGCTTAAATGACAGATCAGTAACAGAAAGAAACAATTCTGTTAAACATTTATCAGAAAGTTACTGATGGTTGGGATTTACTCGCTCTGGAACAATTTAGTGGTTCAATTAAGCCCTGTATACCAAGAGAACAGATTTTCGTTAATTTTGTTACAGATATATTCAATATACTCCATTCACAGAATATGAAAAATAAAAGTGAAAATATTTTAAACAATGCCGACTGAAATTATGTGAGTTTTGTTAAATACACAATTTATGTCATTTCAACTCTTAGCATAATTTAGAATTGTCCCAGTCAGAATTACAGACCTGTTCAATAAGTAAGCTAATGTTTTAAACAAAAATACTGCATGAAGTATACATGAAAGTCCTTCTGACGTAAATGTTCAATGGAATGTGGCTCAACAAACTTAGCCATTGGAGATGAAGCAACAGAAATAAAGAAAGAAAAGAAATGAAAAGAAAGAACTCAGACCAGAGCAAGTTATTCAGAATCTGGGTGAAAAGGACCTTCTTTGAACAGAGGTTCTCTGCAAAGAAACTGAGAATGAATCAAAGAAAAAATAATTTATTTATCTAGACATTAATAGGAGTTAGAGTGAAAGAAAGGTGAGAGTACCTAACCCACCATGGTCAACATCTGAATGCCAGCTGGTCTGACTGGAAAGGGATGCTGGACTTTGACCATAGTAGGCCACTTCCCCTGTTCCTTTATCACGACCAGCTCCCAGATCCATCTCTTCTTCTGTGGAACTAAGACGACGCAGGCGTTTATTTCGGGGTTCTCCTGGACTCTGTGAACTCCGTGGCAGTGATAATGGACCTATGACAATATCATGTACTCAATTTCAAAACATTTATCACACTTCTTAAAACTGTTTTCTATGAGGACTAATAAGAAGTAACAGTAATGGTCTCAAAAATTGCAGGCCCATCTCCTAACAGACTGAGTATTATGGTGTTTAACCATGTTCAGACCTCTTTAGCTTGTGGGAACCTCCCACAGTGCATAACAGACGACTCCCGCAGTGCACCGAAAACAGGCAATATTTATACATCGCTTGCAGCCTGGCTCTCTTGGACACCAATGCAAGCGCTATCCAATCAGCGCTCACAATTGCAGCAATATTTATACATCGCTTGCAGCCTGGTTCCCTAGACACCAACACAAGCGCTATCCAATCAGTGCTCATAATCGCAGCTTCATCGCCAACTGGTCCACGCGCCACCTATTGGACACACCAGCATCTTAAACATCATCTTTCGGCTGAACATTTTCCCGACAATCAAGCTGTAGACAGGGAAGTCACCGCCTGGTTCCAACAGCAGCCCAAAGAATTTTATGCTGCTGGTTTTCATGGGCTTGTGAAACGATGGGACAGGTGCCTCAATGTACAGGGAGATTATGTTGAGAAATGCTCGTAAAAGCATTTTTCAAATCAGTACTCTTATTTGTTTAAGTTCTATAGCCATTTGTAACTTACTTACTGACTTACCCTCGTATCATTTTCTTAATCACCTGCATACCAATGAACCGTGTAAGAGAAGCTGTGACCAGATTATTCATGAAGAATTCTGTGTTCTGGGATATAAGGTTGTGTAGTCCACTGAGTGTCAACAGACATTTCAGAGGAACATGTCGCCTCCATCTTCAGTGTCAAAGAATAAGCCCAGTAAGAAACCAGCGTGGCAGCAGGTAGCTAGCAGAGCTCTTGCTGGTTTATTCTTTGACCTTGAAGATGAAGGCAACACCTTCCTCTGAAACGTGGGTTGATTTTCGATGGACTACACAGTGTCAAATCCCGGAAGCCAGAACTCTTCACAACACCGATGTGAGAACCTCACATTTTGTATAAGCTGCTCATACCTTTTTGAGACACCACTTCAAATGTTCATGCTAGGATTGGAAATGTAACAATTTTAATATTTCAGCACAAATACTCACTATATGCCCCTGAGGCCATCATCGAAGTGTGTTCAGGTGCAGGTGGTGTGTAACTGTTGCAATAATATCCTGGGTTTTCAAGCTTTATTGTGTTCACTGGAGGCTGCATTCCGTTTGGGCCTTGCATTATGGAAGCTGAAATAATCAATAAATAATAAACCATGAAATTTTACATGTCATATTTAACTTGCATAATAAAGTTTTTAATGAACAACATTTCAAAGGCAAAATTTATAAGTGTTTGTACTCTTCCTTGTTGTACCACATATTCTGAATTTAAAGTAGTTAAAAACATGATTGTATTTCTCATAATGTGGCCTTCTGGGCTATTAAACCCTATAATCTCATAGGCAGTTATAGTACCACTGATTCCAAGTAACCTTTAGCCTCCTTCTTCTTCTTCTTCTGCTTTGAAGATGGAGCAGTATATTTCTCTGAAACTTTCGTGACCCCATATATGAGACTTCACAGTGTAATAGTCCAGGATACCACAATCTACATTTTCACAACCATTAAAATCACATATCTCATAAATTTATTTATCCCAAACAATCATTTTTACTTCGTATGTGCCTCTGGACATCAGTTATGCCAACAAATTAATCTGTAAAGTACTTGATACAAAATTCCTTGGAATACATGTAGACAGTACACTGTCTTGGAAAATACATATTGAACAAATTATACCTAAATTAAATGCAGCTTGCTATGCGATGAGATCAATTAAGCCTTTTATGTCACAGGAAACATTGAAGATGGTTTACCATGCCTACTTTCATTCTGTTATGAACTATGGATTAATATTTTGGGGGAACTCTTCACATAGTGTAATAATTTTTAAAATACAAAAGAATATAATTAGAATCATTACAGGATGTAGAAGTAGAGATTCATGTAGAGAATTATTTAAGAAATTAAAAATTCTACCGCTTCAATCGCAATACATATTATCGCTTCTCCTATTTGTTGTTTACAACAAAGATAAATTCAAATTAAATTCTGATGTCTATAACATGAATACTAGACAAAAATATAACTTCCACCTACCCTCATCAACTTTATCAGTATATCAAAAAGGAGTCTACTTTACTGGCATAAAAGTGTTCAACAATCTGCCACAAAGTATTAAAAACTTGGGCAATGATACTAAAAAGTTTAAATCAGAGTTAAAGAATTATCTACATGCTCATTCCTTCTACTCTTTAGATGAATACTTCAATGTAAATAGAGAATGATGTAAAATTAAGTTATATTAATTTTTAAGCTAAAATTTCCTGTACTTATGTATGTAACCTTTTGACTTGTTCTGTATCCAGAGGTACTAACCTGCTTAGGATTTATAGAATGTAAATGAATTCAATTCAATTCAATAGTATAGAAAGTACTGTGATGGTGGAAAAATGCATCTCTGATCTGATGGCTTTACATGTTTTCTGCATCCCTGATTATGAAAATTTGGGTTTCTGAATGTTGCTTGCCTGTCTGTATGGATGCGCCTCTTGCTAGCACCTGAATGGTTGGTCAGATTTTATTCATATTCGGCAGTTATCAGTTTATCTGTCTTAGCTCTGTGCACGGTGAACATGAACATTCAAGCTCCAAGAATATGGGTCCTTCAGACGATCCCCAGAACACTAAACGATAATCTTTTCAAAAATGGCTGTAACAATTTATTAAAATTTCAATAATTTATGGAGACCATCTCACTAAATAAAACTGCATTGGAGATATTTATTTAAAAACAACTGTGCCTGCACTCAGGGCCCAAATGAGAAATATCAATTTTCTCAAAACTAACCGTCAGACAGGTTTAACTGATGTATGACATTCAGAAACCAACAATCATCTACTAAGCAACAATCAATCTCGTTTCCAAGGTAACGTAGTCAATTAGAATCATCTGTGAGAAAGATTTTACAATTTCTTTGACCAGATTTTTGAAAAATATGGAAAATAATGAACTGAAATATGGCCGTTTTAAATTTGATGCTGTAAAATATGGTGCACATTTCCTTTCTAGGCAACACAGGGAAGTTGTACCGAGAAATACAGGTCAAATGGCAACGTTCTGAGGTGTATTCTGTATTAGATCGGTTCGAATCGTGGATGGGAAACCACCAATTATCCTGAATGAGGGCTTTGTGGCTTTAGTCAATCGCTTCAGGCAAATGCCAGTATAGTACCTCAAATTAGGCCATGACTGTAACCTTCAACGCGTTGCACAGTTCACAGTTCACTGCCAACATATCATATGATCCTACATAGCCCGATTTACTGAGACCGTCTTTAAATAAGCTATCGATAACCATAAGATTCTTACTACTGCAATAAGTTCTGAAATTAAAAGCTCCTAATAATCAACAAAATGTAAATTTACAATTAATTCAAGCAAACCTATGCCACATGTCGGTTGTAATGTGATTTTGACTTGACTTGAGTTAGTTTTAGTTTCAGCAGTGACATGAAATTTAAGCCACAGGCCAGTTAGTGATTAGAGGAAACGATGCGGGCAGTTTTAGGAGCAGTTACCAAGTAACGGCTTGTAAAGACACGGAATAGCCATAGTAACCTTTCCTCAGATATATGAAATTGCACATAGAAATATTTCCTCATATATAAGGAACTGCACCTCTGATAAAACAGAAATCCAAGTGACTAAGCAGTCGCTGTGGCATAAATTAAATGATATAACTTGTAGACCCGTTGCTAACGGCTGGTACACACACAGCAGAGGAATGCGTCACGTACGTGGTGACGTCAAGCAGCAACAGAAGTGGTGTTGCAAGGGGCGTTCTCTGTGTGTCCACTTCGAGACTATATGACATGACCGACCGAGTTCATACCCGGGAAAGAAAATTAAGAATAAGGTGCTCATCCAGTCAACTGCAGAAAACTTTGTGTTACGCTGCACTCGCTAGTCAAGTTATGGTTTTAAGTAGGACGGGGAAAGCGAGACATTTCATAATTTCGTACAATAAAATTACGACTTCAAGAATCGCTTTTAGTAAGTGTCTGTTACTGCGTTTTCTGGTTTCCCTTGCTCTATTTACACCCATCCATTTGTTCCACTGAAGCTGAGGGAATGGTCAGAGAAAAGGTACTGCCTGTATTTGATTATCGGTACTACTACGTCACCGCCAGAGCACTAGGACAGGCAGCATTTAGGCAAGACATTCATATGTGCTTTTCTGAACCGTAAACATGTATAATTCGGAAAGTTTAACAAAATAAAACTAAACTGCAAGACTTATTGTTCGTTTACTTAACGATGCTGTTTCATCTACATGGGTTTTACGAATAGTTAGGTTAGAATTTGGAAGTAGAACATCATGGCCCATTTCAAAGTATTAACGTCGGATAGCCTGGACAGATTGAGATATATTTCGACCAAATTTGAACTGAATACCTGCGTAATACAAATCCAGCTTAGGGATTTAAAACAAAACGATTTAATGCTGTTAATGTAATTATCGGAGTGACCACTCAAATCTAGAAGTTATCTGCGAATTTGAATAAAAGTATTATAGTATACACATCCGTTTCCTTCATCCAATTAAATATCATTACATTACTTGACTTATACTCCGTGGCTTTAGTCCACGAGCGAACTATACCGAGCGAGCGACCGCCGCTTGTCGGCGAAGTTAGTGTCAACTTTTGCGGATAGAGGGTGTCGCTTGGTCAGCGCAACGGATCACCCCGGCCGTTAATCTCGGTTTTCTATGCCGGAGCCGCTACTTTTACATTCAAGTAGCTCCTCAGTTATCCTCACGAGGCTGAATGGACCCCGTTCCAGACCCACTACTTCTCAGGAAATCTGGTAGCGCCGGGAATCGAACCCGTGACCTCTAGATCTGTAGCCAGGAACT